TAATTTGTAAGTTTAGATTATAATTTTTTTGTAATAATATTAATTTTATTATTTTCTAAAAAAAAATTATTTATGTCACACGTATTTTGTTTACCAAATTATTGTTAAAACATTACAAATTAGTGCCATCTGAAAATAAACCATACCTGGTAATTTCCTCTTTTATAGAAGGAACATCTGTCTTGTGCATATAAGTTGGTAAAAGCAATGCCATATGCCCACTACGAGAAAGAACTCCAAAACAAACTGGCCTCATAGGACGCAATAGACCCAGTTTGCTCTCACACACACGGTCAAGGTCAGCATCAAGTCCCCAAGCATGAAGCACAGACAGCAATACTTGAGCAATTTCCATTGTTAAATTGGTTTCTGCCATTGCCAATTGGTAAGGCTTATTTGCTACATTATGACCAGCTTTGTCATCATGTACAACCTGTTGATAAAGTATACATGTTTTCAAAATATATTTGATATACGGATGCAATGTGTTCTTTTTAAAAGTATGCAACAATAACTGACTTGACTATTAATGATACAACAGTTGATACTATTAACATTCAGTTTTCAAATTTTTTAGTCATTGTAAATATTTGTTTTAACAAGCAAACCTACTTATGTGATACGCTGCAGCAGCACTTTTGGAACTCCTGGCTACTAACCATTAGTTGATTCTCGAAATAAGTAATGTATATTTCAAATTTTATTTACAGTTTTTAATTTTTCATACCAGTTTTTATCCATTAACAATCACTGTAGCTATTACAACTGTAATTTCTGCAATTTTTTATAGTTGCCACTGGCCTTTTGTCCAATAGTGACTTCCCCTGAGACTGCTTTAAATCCAACACTTTCTGCTTTTGCTTGTATTTTCTGAGCAGCATTCTCTGCTGTGTCTTTCATTTTTGCAATAAAGCCTGAAATAACAAATAAAACTGCAAACTTGTATCATTAATCTTATTATGATACATACAACTATAACTGCTTGAAAAAGCAACAAACAATCTTGATTTTTTATTACAACAAAAACTGATCTCCAAATAAACATTAACTTTTGTGCCTAGTGGACTGAACACTTCAAAAAACAACTGAACCACAGGCAGATAAAATAATTTAATTTGTTTAACAACATACTTTATATACTGTATATTTTTAAATAAGCATCAAATATTAAACTAACTTTAAAAACTCAACTGACAAAATTAATAGAACACATAAGAGTGTTTAATACTGAATAAAATTGAAGAATATTTTGACCATTTGCTTAAAGTACAAAATGTACATTATTTACCTGTCAGTCTTTTCTGCATTTCAGGAGAGCTGGACATACCAAGATACTTTTGGTATTCTGACTGTATTATTAAACCTTGAGCCTCAAGAGCACCAGGTGACATGGTAGAGTATTCCTCTGTTAAAAGCTGAACTGGAAAAAGAAGAATTAAAAACAAACAACATATATGCATGTTTGTGTGTGTGTAGATATGTATATTATGTGTGCTAAATATAAATTAAAACTAGTCTGAGAAATCTTGATTGTTAAAGGCAAGTTAAGAAACATCTACTGTTAAATTTTTGTGTTATAAATAAAATTGTTTAAGAAGTTTTGTTTATGTAGGTGGCTTTACAACTACTATATGTAAGAGTGAAGGTAAAATGTCTAGATTTAAGAAAAAATACTGATATGAAGTGATGATTTGAAGACAATACAGAGTTTAATCTGGGGGTGTAGAAAGACCTGAGTAGCTTGTTCAGTTGGGTTTTAACAATAAGCCTGTTTTCCAAGGTAAGGAATAACAAGTGTTAGAGGGGATTTGGAACATGACTGAATATTAATTGGAGGAGTTATTTTTTAATAAAAAATTATGTATTAAGTTTTCAAGTAAAGGTGAAGGATACCCATCTTTTTTTCAAGGAGTTTTGAAGGAATGATATTTCTTATGAATAAAGATATAATCCAAGCAGATTGTGTAGGCCCTGTGAAGAAGAAGAATCAAGACTAAATTTAGTTTGAATGATTTTGGCACAAACTTTTCTAAGCATGTGTACAAACCAGCAACAGTTTTCTTTCTATAAATGGAGGTGCTAAATTCATTGTTTCATTTTCAACCCTGAACATCAAGGAAGCAAAGATTGTTGTGATTTTTGATTTCACAAGTGAATTTTATATTTATAATTATCAAATGTTTCTAAAGAAAAAACTTTATATTTTATCTGATATTTTCAGTAAAAAATCTGTATAGGTTTGGTCGATTTGACCAATCACGTAACCACGTTAAAAAATTAGAAAATAAATATAAATTATGCCTCTTTAGTTCTAGAATGACTATAAATTATAACACAAAAACATAAATGTTTATACTAAATAGCTTAAATCTCATAACATTATACATTTATATATATATTTTTATTATATTGACCTTTTAGCCATGCTAGGCTAACAATACAGAAGTTACAATGACACGGCACATGTGCACTCACGTTACCGTATTCAATAATATAAAACTGACCATTAGTCTTTACAAAGTGACCTGTCTTG